AAGTTGTTAGACAATTACTTTGACGTTTGGCAAAGTGTTTTTGAAATGAATTAGGTCGTTGCAAATGGAACTACCTCAGCTGTGCCAAAATTTTTTAGATTGCCGTAACATTGCTCATGCTTATCACTGATTTTTGTGTGTAGAACAAAGGCATTGTAAACATCATAACATCCAAAAACTCAACGGTCAATTTGATCATCTGACGCTAATGGCGATTTGCAGACCAGAGGGTCATATTCAACTCACAGTTATTTAAAAAGTTTGTGCGTCACATAGTGGAGTATTATCGCAAACCGATCCATCTCTTTTCGATGTTCTGCCAGCTTCAGTTGCTCCCTTAATTTCTCATACATTTTGTTGACTATAAATTCGTCCTTTGCTTTACCTGTTCCTAGTGGTTTTAAAGAGAAGATGAGTGATTAATGACGTGATAAACCGTCAAATAATAGTCATTACTTCTTCATTGAGGGGAAGGGTCTGTATGGTGGTGGCAGTCACTCTGTAGCCGTATATTCTGGAACCAGTTGTCCTTTCCTCTTCAAAATTGCTGTAGCTTTTCTTGACGTCTGTGGTGACGCTAGGTCGTGCATTTTTTCTTTACTAGAAGAGGAGTTCCGGAACTATCCTTAATTTTTCGTGCATTGGATCGAGTTGTTGACTTGGCTAAGATCCAACGAGAAGACGATGATGAAGTGTAAGTTTTGGTACATTATGAAGGAAATATTAGTGTTCTATACAACATACAGACGGAGAGGCATTTGTCATGCCAAGGGCTGAAAACATTTGATCAGGGTTGTAGTAGTTTCGTTTGCAACGGTTTAAAACTCACTGGGACATAAAATTTACTGGCGCTTTATTTTCTTGTGTTTTTCGCAAATGAGTGATTTATTTTTGATGTTATGAGAAGATTTGTGTTTGCTGAAAGATTGATTTGGTAGTTTGAAAAACCTCCTTGTTGTAGAGCATCGATGTTGATAACAGATTCGCCAAAATTTTTTCAAGAATTTTGTTGCAAGGACATATTTTTATTTGTCTCTTACATTTCTTCCAGTTTTCTTAATTTCTTTTTATTTTTTTAGAAGTGATTAATAATATTTTATTCGTTTCTCATTTCTGACCTCTTGGTCGATACTTTAGCTTTATTCGGTCTTCTTGTATTTAGAGAAACAGTATACAATTATTGATGTCAATTTTGCTCCCATTTTTTGTTTTGTTACTTTTTTTACTAAATCTGTTATTGTCGTTGTTAGTTCATTTGGTCTTTTGCAACTCGATACTACACGTACCGGACTGATAAGGACGTTGGTCTTCAGAGAGGTACTAAAGTAGCAGCATCATCGACAAATACACCTTAGTCAGAACCAGTAGGAAAGTACTGTGACAGCAAAATCAGCAATTCTTGACAACCTCAGCTGCTTACCGCAATTTGATGGTGAGGTCTGGTAAAAACGCCTAATTACGTGTTTTCGAAAACACTAATTACTATACTACTTTTTTGATGTCTTTTTGATTGTATGAAGTTTAGCACTTTTCCTATAAAGTTAGATGTTGCTTAAAATGAATTCATTACCTTAAGTGTTTATGTAACTCTTAATGTTCTTCTCATTAATGGCTCATAAAGTAGCACAGTTCTAAGTGTTTTGCAGATTTCGTGTCATTTCTCCTTTCATTGTTCCTTTGCTTGTTTTTTCCATCTCATTTACTTTATATGTCGTCTTACTTTTATATGTTTAGTGATGCTGTTTTAAATTTTTTTTTAAACTTGTTAACTGTTTTTAACCAATGTTGTTGATGATGAAGCGACTACTTGGTTTGAAAGTCTGGTTCCAACTGGTCATAAAATTAAGTTACTTTTCTTTATGCTTTTTTCTCTTCCATATATATAAGTGATGTATTCGTGCAATCACTAAAGCTGCTTTATCACTGTTAAGCTAGTTTGTATGTCGGCGATAAAAAAACAGGTTGTTATTTTATAGTATAAGGTTTTTTGTTACTTGATTTAGGCTGTTAATTCCTCATTTTTGCGGTGTTTGTCACCATGACCAGTTTTGGTTACTGTTTAAAACGAAGACAAATACAGTCGGTAGACTTCTCGACAAGTGAGTAGTAGTGGCTGGTTTTGGGCGGCTAGTGACCCAAGCAGTCAAAAGTTGTTTTTTCCAACTAATCACCTCAGCGATGTTCCATAACAAATTGTTTTTTTTCTTTGTTCCTTTTTTGCCGCTTACTTAGAATACGGGGCAATAGCGAAGGGCGCAGTAGTTTCTCTTCTAGCAACACTCAAAACGGAGGGCTGAATTAGTAGCATCAATAGCAGGTTTAGAAATTGAAAGTATTAAAACTGGAATAAATGGTGACTTCATTGGAACTAAGCACTAAATGAAAAGTCGAATAAGTAGGCATCTGTTGACTGTGGGTGAATCAGTTTTGTGATTGACGACAATGTGCAGAATGGTAGCCTTAATTTCAAAAGTTTGTCATGTTTTTTTTTATTGTTTGATCAGTTTAAATGACTTTTAACCACTCATTCTAATCTTTTAGATCTGTGTAGAATTTGTTTATAGTATTCTGCTTCTCAGTATTCTTATCTTACTGATTTGACGCTGCAGTGATAACTAAAAAAATGTTCTTTTTTGAAAGTGTGTTCAAAAGACTCATTTGTTGCATGTTTGGCTGAAAAAGTACCCAGGGTCATATACCCAAATCATGAAACGAAAAACTGGCATAATTCAGTCTTGTTTGGGTTGAAGGATGTGAAAGGGCATAGCGGGAAATATGACTGTAGTCAGAGCAATGAAATCAAAAAGTTACAAAACCTTTAGAAAGTCAAATTCAGTTGGCTCTCATTTCTGTTGGTCATTCGTCTACACTTTCTATAAAGTTCTGCACTACCACAAGAAACTCGTTAGCAAAATTATTACCATTTACTGTCACTAAGCTGATGTGAACGCTTAGAAACATTGAGCTAAAAATGATGAACTTAAAAACTAACGAGTTTTATTCAAAAAACTATTCAACACTAATCTCGCAGTCACATCGTCGCCTTCCGAGATAGTTAAAAATAAAGCAGATAAAACTTTTTTATGAGCTGCTCAAAAAAAGAATTGAAACCAGTAAAAAACCCCACTTCTTCAAGCACGACTCACTGTGGATCTTTAAAAAAACAATAAAACATTCTGTGACAACATGGCCAAAGCTACACACCCAAGTTAAAGAGGAACACCTATAATCCAATCTAGTTTGAATTAAAGAATTCGAGGGAACATAGTGATAAACATTTCTGTCTTAATGGCAATAAATTCAAATTTTCAAAATCACCAGGGGGTGGAGTTTGTAAACACACTGACAAACCCGTCAAGAGTATAACGCACAGTGAATAGTGAGCAATAAAACTCTCTTTGAGTGCAAGGCCGACTGGTCCGATTGTAACAGGTTACCCGACTTTCTCTCTGTAATTGATCCTGATGCAACTGCTAGACCGTCACAGCTTTTTCCGCCTTTTACGAGTCCAAACAAAAGTAACAAAACGTTCCTCCCAGAAAAGCTGGAGGAGCAAGTAGTCCCCACAAAGCTTTCATATTTCGTTCTATTCACAACACTCAATAAGCTCGGATGCGTTTTATGTCGAGTAACGTAGCATATTACAATAATCGACATGTAACACTTTCTCTTCCTCTTCTTCCTAACGCGATTTAATTCCATGCAATGTTACTTTATTGTCGTAACCTGACCTTTTTCCTCTTAATGAACCCCCACTCTTCCTTAACCTAAAAAGCAAATGAAATACGGAAAATAAACCATCAAACCCCTTCAACCAAAAAAAATTTTTTTAGTACTCACCATGCGCAGGACTAATTCACCGGACGGCCCTTATGAGTTGACTGGAAGACGCACTAATTGGAGAAGCAGCAATGGCTGATTTAGGACGGACAGTGACTAGCCTTCAAAGTACACTAAAGCATGCTCTTCATTTTCTACCGTCATTTTTGATTTTCTTTTTGTTACCAACACCTTTGATTAAGAAAATTCTACGCTATACGAAAATTTAAGAAAACGGTATCACAATCCCTGCAGTCACCTGATCATACTTTGGTCACTGACTGTGAAGCAAAATGGTAACACCAATACCAACATTAACCTCAGGGAATATTAGAGAAAAAACCTTATTTCTGCCCTGTTATTAGCCTCGTTTCACACTCCTGTAATAGCGTTATTGCATTAGTGATTTAACCACGCCACTGAATTCCTGCACACACGTATGCCGACCCAGTGGGCACAAATTTCGTACCGCAAAAACCTTTAGGTTTCCATAAGTATTGCTGTTTATAAAGATAAAAAAAGGAAAGATAAAACTAGAATAATATAAAAATGTCTAGCTTTTGTAAGTGCTTAGAAAGTGGAAAACCATACAGTTAATACGCTGACGTTAAGAAGTAATCTGACACAAATTAAAACATGAATCTGCAAAGTTCAAATTTAGGCATCGGTAACAGGCAAGCCTTCTACAGCACTGGATAGAGAAGGAAACTAGCACTTTTCAAAAGCTCTACTTCTGTATCAAGAAAATTGCTCAAAATAATGTATACTTCAAAACAAACCGTATCGTCCATCACAGCTAGTGTCTAATATCAACCTCTTTTTTTAGAAAGTATAAAGATGAAACTCCTCAACCGCTTCTAAAGGATAACTGCAATATCAACTATTTCTGCACCTCCTCTGCAACCAGAAAACAATCATAGTCTTGTCACTCAATTTTAAAAGTTTGAAGTAACGATACGCCAAAAGAGAACCTAACCTGAATAAAACTGAACCTTCCAAAATACCGTACCTTTGCACACCATGTGTACGTATTTCAGAAGCCCAACAACCATAATGTAAAAAACCTCGAACATGTAAGGATATCTTTCTTCAACTAGAAAACAAATAAATAAATTAAATACCGGAAGAAAAATACATAAAAGTTGAAAGAAGTGTCAGGCAACTTCCCTGAGCACATTCGGTTTAATCTTGCAAATGCCAAAATTAACACACTAATACTGTAATTTATGAAATCTTTCTTCAGGCATTGAAATCCGGTTCTTTACTTCTGCTGGGAGTTTGTATATGACAAAGTTTGGTATGTTTCAGACAATACTTTAAAGGCGTCTTTCGACCAGAAACTCACCAAACATTTAAGCAGAATGGTAAAAACACTCTAAATAAAAGAGCAGAGCACTAAGTGCGAAAAGACAGACAAAAAATTGAACAACTACAAAGAGCCTTTCTGCTACCTGAACGACTAAATATATCATCAGTAAAAAAACGTTGACGGGGTTACGCATGAGCTTTCATTGACCGACAAGTCCAAGTCTCTTTGCAAAACAAAGAGCTAAGCGTTGGAAAACAAACAACTCCAATCACAAGTGCAATAACTGTATCTACCTCGACAATGAAAAGCAGAAAAATCATCTTTCACCGTTACCCAGTTTTCTACACTAAAAAAGCTTATCGATCCTTATTTTTAAGAAAAAACGAGTGCTTTCTGTCAAACTCTAACAACTTGCAATCAGACTGCTTCCCACTGATACGTTTTAAGCACTTTTTGACTCGCCTATCAGTGTACAAGGCAAAAACCGGCTTCTTGGAGCAAGAAAAACTTCTCGACCGCGGCAGGACTCGAACCTACAATCTTCGGTTCCGAAGACCGACGCGTTATCCATTACGCTACGCGGCCACCCACCGCTGGTCCTCTCGTCGTCTCCTGCCAATTTATGGACACTCGGTACGTATGCAACCCAAACGCTGCAAGAAACGTTTTATTGTTGTTAAATAACTGAAGACGCACCGTTTCATCCAGTAAGGAGAAGCAAGTAAAAAACATTTGGTTTATTTACAACAAGTTTTTTAAAGTTAATATTAGTTCCCTCAATTTTACATATTAGCGTTATCCCAGAAAATTACAATGATGAAATGGTTGTCTTCAAAATGCCTCCTAGTCAACCATTTTCTGTCCACTTCAAAAACTAAGTACTGATCTGACTTTTAACACTTGGTTTTAGAGTGAAGTAAAAGTTGGAGAAAAAAATTAGACTGCACCGGAAGTAATGATGACAAAATTCAGCGATAAAACGACTGCAGAAAAGTGGATCTACATTATTACAGATAAATATTTCTTTCCATTATTTTTTTAAGTACTTATCCACCAAGACCGCGAAAACTATTTGAGTACTTGAACACTTAATACGGTCTCGAAGTTGAACCAAATCTTCAAAAGGAATTGGCTGGTGACTAAATCCCAAAATACACTTCTTGTGTTATAGGTACTATAATAAAACAGTAAAGTTCATTTGCCCTTCGTCTTCACCTATAAATGACCGGTCTGGTTTTGTTCCTTCCAAATTTTCATTTACTGCAGCGTCTAAAACCGGCTGAGGAAGTACGTTTAAGAGAAACGCAAGAAAGAAATATTGCCGTAATATTTCACTTACTTTTATTTGGAACAGTCAAAAATGGACCACATAGTAATCTCGCCTGAGAGTACTAGCAGTAATCTATAGCCAGCTGTTTTTCAGTGACCATTGCCGAATGAGAATCATGCTCTAAACAACGATGCATTTTAGCCATTACTTATGCTAAGTAACGCACAATACCTTGAAATTATTTTTCACAGCTTCCATAAGTAGAAGTTGAAACTGAAAATAAAATTTTTAAAAGAAGCAAGACATCCTCATCCCCAACCTACTCAGTGGTGTGGATTTTTATCTTCCGAGATTCTTATGCAGTTCGTACTTTTATCCACTCATCCTAATCTGACTGCCGAAACAAAGCTTCATAAACATATATTCCTTCTTAGAAAAACCCAGACTAAATCAATTTTCAACAAAAAAATAAAAAAATAAATGATAAATAATAAAAAACAAAAAATAAACCCTCGCATTTTTAACAGACAGACATCCAGTTACAATATACACTTAAAATAGATGCTGTTGGCTGAAACAGCCCGTCATTTTTTCTAAAAAAGAGGTCATTATAAACGTTTCATCCATTTACTTCTTAGGTGGAAGCTACTGCTCCATCTAAATTAGCAAAGAGCAAACTGCTTAATACTTCTTCTTCAGATGAAGCCAACAGAAAATACCCAAATAAAACCGTAAGACAAATTATAAGTGAAGAAACAACAGCTGCTGCTTGTATGCACATAAAAAGATTCTTTAAACTACTTCAAAGCCCTGTTCAACCAAGAACATTGTAACAAAAAAATGTGATTCGTTTTCAAAAGATCGGAAGTAACTGCTACAGAAGCAGAAAATGCAGTGCCGAGAAAGAAGTGCACGGATATTTAGAGCCATATCGATACAATACAGTAAATATTTATCTAACTTCATCCACCTAAACAAAACGCAGTGGAATAAATTTATCTATGGATTTCAAAAACCTAAAAATTGAGGTGGAAAGAAATTTTGCAAGCAGTTAAAAGCGCTAGCCCACTGAAATGGGAAAGGAAAAGAGACTCCCCGGCCGGGAATCGAACCCGGGTCTCGCACGTGAC